GGGGGTCGGGCCACGCGGGGAGCGGCGGCCGTGCGGCCTCCTGCCCAGCCCGGCCCGGCCCGGCTCCGCCCGCGGCGTGTCCCGCGGCCTCCCTCCCCCGGCGCCCGCTGGCCTGGGGCGGTGGTTGGCGGGGCCGGCGGGAGGGGGAGGTAAGCGGGGCCGGCGGCCCGGGAGGGGCGGCGGCTGCGGGGGACCAGCACGCCACGCCACTCCGCGCTGCGAGTGTTCGCGCCGGGGAGCGGGCCTGCGCCGCCCGCCTCCCCGCTGCCGGCTGTCGGAGCTCCGGGCTAGGAGTCGGGAGAGCAGAGCGGAGCGTGCGGCCGGGGCAGGGCCAGGGGCGGCGGGACCCTCCTCCTCCTCCTCCCCCTCCCCTCCCCCCGGGCGGCCTGCGAGGGGAACTTGTGGGTCCCCAGCGTGTCAGCCGCGTGGGAGAGGAGGCCCCGGCCCGAGGAAATTGGTTTGGGGGCGTTCTTTTTTCCTGGCCAGAGCTGCTTCCTTAGGATGACTCGAGGAGCCCTCCAGATGCGGCATCCCAGGGTGGCTGATGGCCCCGGGGGGAGGGGAGAGGCAACTTTTCCAGGATGTTTGAACCAGAAGTCCAATTTGCCACCGCTCCCGGCTTGTGCTGCTCTGCGATGCTTGTGGGAAGCCTCCGTGTGGGCTTGGGGGTTTAAACGTGCTTGAATCTTGGCCTGGGGAGGGGCAAGCTGGGCGGGAATGCCTTGGGTTTTCCTTTAAAGTACTTTTGGGGGCTTAGAGCCACTAGTAATAACCGAGTCGATGGTACTTCTCATCTCTGGGAATAACACATGAGAAGTATATAATTAAAACCACTTAAGGGAACTGTCGTTTTGGGTGGTGGCCCTGGGAGGTGGCGATCAGAGATCCGGCCCCTGCCAGCCTCTCCTGCCCAGCGGCCGTGCCCTGACGCTACCAATAAGCGGGTGTCCCCGGGTGGCATTTCAGAGAGGCCAGCCAGAAGCTGGCCGCTCATCGTTGGGAGCCCCAGAGGGGGCCCGTTCCCGGGGGGATGTGCCCAGCACGTGGGAACCCTTCTCGCCACGCTGCGTCCTGCCGAGCCGGGAGTGCTCGTGGTGAAACTTTGCAAGGTGGTGTTGGCACGTTGGCGAGGGCTGGGAGGAAGCTTGGCCCCAAAACCGGGAGGATAAACAGTGCTTGTGCGGCCGGCCGGTAGGGGGCGCAAGAGCGAGCGCCTCGGAGGGAGACCTCGAGCTTGGGAAATAGCGTATCCAAAAGCCGCGGTCCTCCTCCAGAACCGAATGGAACTTAAGTCCGTTTTAAAATGGAGTTTTGTGTTTGAACACGGACTAGCCCTCCAGAAGGACCTGGCAGTGTTTTGTTGTTGAGACTTAATGTTCGGCTGTTTGTGCTCTTTTAGTTTATGACTTCTTTTTTATTAAGTGTTTTTAAAAAGCTTTTTAAAGAATCTTTAGCATGCTGGGTATTAGGCATAAGAAAAATTGTAAATGAGTTGTAAATAGTCATACAATTAGGCAGAATTGCAGGGCTTTTCAGAATTTTGGAGAGATAGTTTACTTTAGGTACCTAAGACCTTTCACAGGTGGGTTCTTCTGTTTCATAAAGCAGTCACCTTTGAAATTAGAGACACTTTTACTTACCTTTGGACCAATTTGATACGAAACAAAAAGTGATGGATCAAGAGTCAGAGGGTTAAAATCCTGCTTCTACTCCAGGTTTGATCCTTTGCAAATCACTTCATCTCTTTAGGTCTCTTCCCATGTAAAAGGACCAGATCTCTCAAGTTGGACTAGTTGCAACTCCCAGGCCTCTTCTGGCCACTTTTAAGTCCTGTGGAATCCATCCTAGGAGGAATCAAATGTTTTGGCCTTTGCCTAGCTTATCTTGGATTATGTATTTTACTGTGCCCCTTCCTCTTGAGGTACACATGATCTATTGATTACTTTTAATTGGTCTGAAAAAGTACAAACCTTTGTCTCTAAGACTCTGCATAGTGAGCTCCGTGAAGTTTTTGTCCTTGGTTCAGAATTGCACAACACCAGAGAAGTTACAGCTGTTGAACATCTGAGTGCTTCTGATTCGAAGACTTTCAAAGTTTGCATGCCAGTTTAAAAAAACAAAACAAAACAAATCTTTGAAATGTAGAAACAAAATTTCTCTTAAGCAACAAATCCTTTTTTATGAGCTGAGATTAAGATTTTTTTTTCTTAGAAAGCTGTACTCAGGAGGAACCCTGTTTGCCCCTTTTGGAGTTTTGCAGAAGTAGGAATGTAACAATAGAAATAATTTATAAACTTTTTAGTCCTCTTGCATGGATGTACAATTTGGCCGGGAGTTCTTAGGATCCTCTATAGATATGAAACTGGAAGGGTAGGCCTTCTTCAGTTCAAGCCTCCACCCATTCCCCATTTTACAGATAACCAGTGTGGTGTAAGTGATTCACCCAAGGTCATTTTAGGGGAGTGATGCCTTTTTAATGATTGTTTTTGGAAGCTATTTTTAAAATATCTAATAACCTCAAAGTTGATATTTAAGGATTGTTATTGATAGTTCTGTATCAGAAAGATTGGAGGATCATAAGTTTATACACATGTTCTGAAGGGCCTCCTTTTTCCTGCATCCAGCACTTTCTTGCCCTTCAGAGGTTGAGTGCAGTAAAGCCCCATTGTGGAGATTTTTTCTTCCCTGGGCCTTTTGTTTCTTACCATTTCAGATGGCCTTAAACTGTTTTTTAAACAATATTTCTTGGTCTCTTTCTGTGGCTTGCATACCAAGGTAGCAAAACTTCAATTGTGTGATCTCAGGATGCTTTACAAAGCATATTACCAGTATTCCACTTCTTACCACAAAGTTTGAAGAATGGGTGATTGTTCCAAGTTCCATATTCACCATTTGGTGATCTCAGGAAAAACCTAACCTCATTGTCAGTAACTTAGAAAAGTTAGTTATTCCTCTTCTAGCTAGCTATTGGAACCCTTTAATTAGATCTGAGTACCAACTTAGAGCAATTGTACGTGATAGAGCTTTCATTTTAGTCTTCACAATGGACAGTTCCTGGTTTCACTGCATTTGGTATTTTAGTTGTAGATATCTTGTCCTTGATAGGCGTTTGAGATTTTGCAGAATTACTCAGTTTTGTTTTCATCTGTAGCCCAGTTTCTTGAGTTGGAAGAATTCCATAAAGGCACTGAAGTATTTGAAGGAATAAAAGAGTTTATAAATGATAAATTATATTGAATTCTAAATGAGAAGTATCATTTCTCTACACGATGAAAATTGCTGAACGGAGGAACCAGCTACTTGGGGTATATTGAAAAATAGTCTTTGATAGGTTTCTGTCTAATATTTATAATCACTAGATAGAATGCCATATTCTTCACTTTCTGGTAATTTGGTGACTAGGACCTGGTATAATTCACCAGGGCATATTTCTTTTTAATTAAAGAGAATCAGAGAGTAAAAATTTAGGGTTGACGTATAGATATTATTGCAATCAAAATAACTCTTGTTTTTCCTGTCTTCCTAGGCTATGGTGAACTAAATGGTAATGCTGGAGAAAGAGAAATATTAAAGAGCTTAGGCTCTGATGAAGCCACCAACCCCATTTCAAGGGTACTCAATGGCAACCAGCAAGCTATAGACACTAATTTAAATCCGAAACAGACTGTGAAAGCCAGTACCTTTGGGAAAGCAGGAATTAAAACCAAGAATTTCATTCAGAAAAACAGTATGGACAAAAAGAATGAGAAATCTTATGAAAATAAGCCCAGAGACAACCAATCTGTAGACAAGGCTGATGCAGTATCTATTCCAAATGGTGTTGTAACAAATAATTCTGGTTATATCGCTAATGGCTACGTAGGCAGAGGGGCCGACAACGATGGCAGTGGCTCTGAGAGTGGCTACACCACCCCTAAGAAACGGAAGGCCCGGCGCAACAGTGCCAAGGGCTGCGAGAACCTGAATTTAGTGCAGGATAAAATAATGCAGCCTGAGTCCAACACCCCGAACTTCAAGCAGGGACTTGACAGTTTCAAACCTGATTATAGTGAACAAAAGGGAAACCGAGGGGACGGCTCTAAGCCCATTTGGAAGTATGAAGCTGGGCCTGGAGGAGCTGGTCGTGGGAAGCCTGGAGTCGGGGACGTGCAGCGGAAAAACTCCGATGCCAAACCTGGTGGGAGCAGCAAAAAGTTTGACGATCGACCCAAAATCAAGCATGCGACAGCCGTCGCCTCCAAAGAGGACTCGTGGACCCTATTTAAGCCTCCCCCAGTTTTTCCAGTGGACAATAGCAGTGCTAAGATTGTTCCTAAAATAAGTTATGCGAGCAAAGTTAAAGAAAACCTCAACAAAGCAGTTCAGAGCCCGTCAGTGTCTCCCTTGTCGTTGTCATCATCTTCGCCGTCTGCGGGGGAGACTCAGGCCCAGACCTCAAGTCGACTGTCCCAAGTCCCCATGTCTGCTATGAAGTCAGTTACTTCTGCCAGCTTTTCTAATGGTCCTGTTTTGGCAGGGACTGAGGGAAGTCTGTATTCTCCAGGGAATCAGCCACTGCTCACCACTGCTGCTAGTACTGTAACCCCCACCCCTTCTGGGACAGAGGCCATCCTCCAGGACATGAGCATAACTTCCACAGCCGTTGAACAAATGAAGCCGAGCCTTTTTATCTACCCTTCAAATATGCAAACTGTCCTTTTGGGTGCGGCACAGGTGGATCTGCCCTCTCAGACAGATCAGCAAAACCTGGGAGATATCTTCCAGAATCAGTGGGGTTTATCGTTTATAAATGAGCCCAGCGCTGGTCCCGAGACTGTTATTGGGAAGGCAACAGATCACAAAGTGATGGAAGTGACATTTCAAGGGGAATATCCTGCCACTTTGGTTTCACAGGGTGCTGAAATAATTCCCTCAGGAACTGAACATCCTGTGTTTCCCAAGGCTTATGAGCTGGATAAGCGGACTAGTCCTCAAGTTCTGGGTGGCATTCTAAGGCCTGGGACTGCCGGTGAGGGTGGAGCCTTAACCTTGGAGCCTGGTCTCACTGGGGACTTGCACAAAGCAGACATGAGTAGTCAAGGTGCTCTAGTGTTTCTCTCAAAGGACTACGAGATAGAAAATCCTCTGGCCTCTCCTACGAACACTTTGTTAGCCTCCGCCAAAGAACAGAGGTACCAGAGAGGCCTAGAAAGGAAAGATAGCTGGGGTTCTTTTGACCTGAGGGCTGCTATTGTATATCACACTAAAGGTAACTCATTTGTTTTGTGAAGTACCTTGCTCTTACTTGTGAATCTAGGATTTCCTGATTGTACTGCGTATGTAGCGATTAGGGAGTCGCTGCCTTAGATTCTTCATGCCGTGACTTTTTTTTTTTCCCTAAAACTAAGGAACGCTTTTTTTTTTTTTTTTTTTTGCAATAAGCAACTGATGTCATAAAGAGCATGCTGCCTGCTAGGGTCTTGGACCAAAAGTATAGTGGGATGGGTAGCCCTTTATGTCAGCGTGTGTGAGGTGCTTTGATAACGCCTTTTACAAATACTCTGAATTCTGTTTTTTAGTAAGTCACGCCATATGTGGAGAGAGTTGAAAGACTAATAGCATCTTTCCAACCTTGCCGAGATGTTACTCGGTCGTTTTTCAGTAGTGTCTAAGTCTTCATGACCCTGTTTGGGTTTTTTAGGTACAGATACTAGAGTGCAGATACTTCTCCAGTTCATTTTACGAATGAGGGAACTGAGTCAAACAGGGTGAAGTGATTTCTCCAAGGTCACACAGCTAGAGCTAGTAAGTGTCTGAGCATGGATTTGAATTTAGGTTTTCCTGACTAGGCCCTGTGCTCTATCCACTGCAACATCTCACTGCACTGGCGGGCAAATGCCTTTCCCTGAATTTGTTTGCAATTTTGAGTCTTTGGAAAATAAAATGGTTAAGACTTAACTCTACTTTTCTCCCCTGTCCTAAAATGTACAGATGTATTCATATCTTCTATTATAGACCCCTGAAATTTTCATCTGCCCTTCTTAATTTAAAACATTTAGCTGATGACATCTTTTTAGACAATATTAGATAGACTAAAGAATTAAAAGGAAAAAGGGAGAATAACTAGTTCAATTGGTGCCAAGCTGTATATTTTAAGTAAGTTTTCTACTCTATATAACGTCCATTTCTTTGAATCAGTTTTGACACTTTATTACATCTTTAATACAATTAAAAAATAGTTGATATTTTGAGGTCTTAACCCCAAAGATGAATTATCTCTTTTAACCAATTCCATATACCAATTTTTGTCAGTAACGGAAGACTTAGTGGCGTTGAAAACTGTCTAGAAAATTGTAGGGATTTGGAGAGAGGCTGGAGGTTAGGTCATCCTTTCTTTGCCTAAGACGGTAGGTCAGTTTACTGCTGCACTTCAAAGCTTGGGCTCTTCCATGAGGAAAGCAGGTCTTGTCCTATGCCAGACAGGTAAAATCTGTAGCTTGCAAGTCACATGAATCACTGCCTTAGAACTTTGGGTATTTTGGACATGAAAACTGTGGCTACAGGTCACGGGCAATATCAGCTTAATTGAAATACACTTCACAGCAGTTGTTATTGTGAGATTCTGCTACGTAACTGGCTTGTTTACCATAAGCATGTCCCAAACTATTGGGAGTCGTGGGTTTCTTATCCATAACCCAGAAGGTGAAAATCACACCAGCTGCCCTTTTACTGGCAGCAGCCTGTCAGAGGAAGGGGTTGGGATGGAAGTGAGGGTAGAATTCTGGTGAAAGTTTAGAACCGGAACTGGCAGAATTAACTAACTACCCTTTCTGTTCCTCCCCTGAGCTGTCATGGAAGTAAGACAATAAGGAGCAGGATGGGTGTGTGTGATTGGCCTCACCTGTTCAGAAGAAGAGGGCCCGCTTGATGCATCAATTCTTGCTGACTCTGTATCTCAGGACGGTCAGCGTGAACAAGAAATCTTTTTGTAACCTGTTCATAATATGTTATTGCTGTGGCCGCCCATGCTTATCACCGATGCCAAGATGTAGTTCACTGCTGCAAAGGAGACTGGACTCTTTGCCTGCCCCATTTTGTGAACATTTATAAGATATCCCTAGAGACCTTTAATTAAGGAATGCTCAGAGTGTTCCTTCAGAAGGCAGCAACAGATGAATTAAAAGTGATGTAATAGTGGTTGCAAGTATCAGGTTGAATAGGTTTTTGATTCTCTCTAAAGGCTTAGATTTTATTGACCATTAGATCTGTGGTTTTGTTTTTGTTTTATTCTGGGGATAGATCTTCCACGAGGCAGGCCTGTGAGTTCCATACTGTTGTGGATTTATATAGGGCTGACGGAGGTGCAGAGCCTCCTTGACCTTTGGAGTAGGCCTAGGACAGTCTATCTAGAGGACCCTAAAAGGAACAAGCAAACTGTGGAATGAAGAGGATTTTGATGTATTCTTGACTTTTAGGAAAGGGTGTCCTAAGAAAGCTCTTCTGCCATTTTAATAACTGCATCCTCCGAGGCGGTGTAAGGCTCAGTGTTGCTCTGTCTTGGAAATGGCCAAAAGTCATTCAGAGTTGAGTCTGACAAATAAGAATGGTCATGGTGATAAGTTCTTGGTCAGTACAGAAAAGTGATTTGGCTTTTTTGTTTATTTGACTCAGCTTGTAAGTTAATTTAGCATCCTGCCTCACCGACGTGACTGAATGACCACCATGCATGTGTACAAATTCCAACAGTTTTAAGAATAGCATTGTTACTCTGTGATTAATCACTTCTGCTGCCTGCCTGCCATCAGCAGGATGTAAATCAGCACCGTGTTTGGCTCCTTTCACATCCTCTGTCCTCTTCATAGCTTCTCTTTCCGTGTCCCCTGCGCCTAACCACAACCCCACCCCAGGCCTCACCATCCAGACCCTTCAACCTCCTCTGCATTTCTGTGGTGTGCAGCTCATGGCTGTACACCTTGTCCTGGCCCTATAGCTCTCAATCATGACCTTTCTCTCAGGTGTTGGGGTCCGAATGCCAAGAAGGTAGAGTAGTCTACCCTCCCCCTTCAGGAGCTTAGGTCAAGTACTTAGAGCTGGGTGACATTGTCAGGTGGTCTGAGCTTGGTGTCCTGTAGACTGTTGCAGGAGCATTTTTGAATTCCTTTTGGTGCTGATCGATTGATTTCTGGCAGCCTCACAGCTCGTTGAAGTTAGATTGTTCCTGATCTCGCCTCATGACTTAGGCAAACAAAGTTGGTTGTGAATTTCATTCAAAGTTTGCCCCATGGCTTTCAGATTTGCTCCTTGAGTGTCATTACTGGCTGAGTTAAACAATTTATTTATCAAGATTTTTCAGCATCTTACAGTTCCTTCAGTTTGTCAAATTGTTGCAGTCACTTGCATGATATGAAGGAAAACTTTGATTAGATATATTCTGCAATTTTCTTTGAAGTAGAATCTCATTGTAATTTTCCATGAGTGTTCTTTGCAGGTTGCCCCCTGGCCACTGAGGAGAGAGTGGGGAAGAAGGGGAGTTGTCATTCATTAATTAAGTCTTTTTGTTTTTGGAAACTCACATTATCAAGTGGGCAGAGCAATTCTTTTGTTGTTGTTGTTGAGGCAGTCAAGGTTAAGTGACTTGCCCAGGGTCAAACACTTACAAAGTGTCAGGTGTCTTGAGGCCGGATTTGAACTGAGTCCTCCTGACTCCAAAACCAGAGCTTTATCCACTGCACCACCTAGCTGCCCTGGGGAGAGTAATTCTTTTTTTTTTTTTTTCTTTTTTAAGTGTTATTTTTTTAAAAAATTTTAAAACTAATTTATTTTGAATTATCAACAATCACTTCCATAACCTTTTTTGAGTTTTAAATTTTTCTCTCCCTTCCTCCCCATCTCCCTCCCCAAAATGGCGTGCAATCTGATATAGGCTCTACATATACATTCCTATTAAACATATTTTCACATTAGTGATCTTGTAAGGAAGAATTAGAACCAATAGGAGGAACCTGGGTAGAGTAAGTCTTAAAGTACCTTTGTAAGGTATGCTGTGGGTAGAACTGCAGATGAAGGCAGAGATATCTCACGTCTCCCGAAGTACAGGCTTTCTACTGAGTTACAGCGAGCTGATCCCAGTTGACTTCGAGGTGGACCAGACGTTTTATTTCCATTTTGGGGAGAGTGTGGGATGTAGAACAGGTTCTGTAGTTATGAAACATTAACAAGCTGGAAAAAAAGAGTATGCAGTGTAACCTAAAGACTGCAGTGAGCCTTGTGCTGTTTTGTCTAGCACGTTGTAGAATAGAAAAATTCTGGGAATTGATATCGCTAAAGGGTGGAGGTGTCCCCATATATGTCAGTGTCCAGAGTATCTTGTCACTTTCTTTTGGGTTTCTCCGCAGTGTGTTGATTTGTCCTTTTCCAACTGTTTCCTTTCACCTGTTTGTTCACTGGAAGTGCAGAAGGTACTCTCAGCTCCTTGAGACAGAGGTGGGACCACTGAGCAGTCTTCCTAGAGGAGGCAGGGGAGTTGCTACTCGGGTCTTCTTGACTCTTGCAGGCTTGGTGTGGAAAATGGAAGGCACATTTCTTTATTCATTCCTTTTTGTGCTTTTAGGCCAGGCCCTGAAGCCTAAGAATTAACAACATTGTGTTAGGCATTTAATGGTTGTTGAATGAACTAAGGAAACACATCGTTAGATTGGTTTTGTGCATCTTGTTTTGTCCTCAGAAGAAACCATTATTCAGATTTATCTTTTTTTTTTTTTAGTTCTCCCAAGTGGGACAATGTCATCTTTTGGTATTTAAGTTGAAGATCAGCTTCTTGTTTTTGACATGGCCCTTGTTACAGGTTTGTAGCTCTGTCTTAGGGAGAATTGAGACTTGTATCTTGAATCACTGCTTGTACTTGGCCCTCTGCACTATTGATCCTTCCTTCTTCGGGACTTGTGGATGGTGGATGGGAAGGTCTGCTGGAGAGAGTTATGTTAGGTCTGAATAGATCCCAAAGTATTTGTCTTCACTGTATACAAATTGGTTTGATTAAGTTATTATGCAAGTTACTGGCATGAATGTACTTTGACTTTTTTTCACGAGTTGACAACATATTTCTCAAGTGTCATTGTGCAGTGTATTTTGTAAGTGAATTCCAGGTTTACTTGTTTGCAAGCACCAGTATTTTTCTTTTAACCATTAAATAATGATCTGAGTATTATTTACCTTTTTGTTGATAACTGAAAGTCAACTTTAGGAATGGTATACTACTGAAGTATATGA